TGATTTTCTTTTATTCTGTTTCTGATATTTCACTTTTCCGACTGGCAGGAAAATCCTACGATTCTCCATCAGAGGAGAGTCACCGTAAGCAGATCTGGCTCACCAACCGCAAACTTGTGCTAATGCACAACATCTTGGCTGATCAGGGCTTCAAATCCTACCGGCTTGGTATGACCTACTTTGCTGACATGGTATGTGTAGAAACAGAAGCCAGTCAGGTTTCAGAATGACACATCAAAGTTCATTACTATAATAGCCATGAGTAATTTTGGTTACAATTTGCATACAGCGGCTTTAAAAATTACAGTTAAACACCAATAATTTTGTTCTTCTTTATCAGGAAAATGAAGAGTATAAACAGCTGGTTTCCCGGGGCTGCCTTGGATCTTTCAATGCTTCTCTGCCTCGCCGTGGCTCTACCTTCCTTCGCTTGCTTGAAGGTACTGATCTGCCCGACACTGTTGACTGGAGGGATAAGGGATACGTCACTGGTGTCAAGGATCAGAAGCAGTGTGGCTCCTGCTGGGCCTTCAGTGCAGTGAGTATATTGGAATCAGTCTTCCTACTGTTATAAAGCGGGAAACTTTGCTCTACTGTTGCCTTTTTAAAAACTGACTCATTCTTATTGCAGACTGGTGCACTGGAGGGTCAGCACTTCAGGAAGACAGGAACGCTGGTGTCTCTGAGTGAGCAGCAGTTGGTCGACTGCTCTGGCACATATGGAAACATGGGCTGCAATGGAGGCTGGATGGACTCTGCTTTCCGGTACATCGAAGCCAATGGAGGAATTGACACTGAGACATCTTACCCTTATGAGGCTAAGGTAAATCGACAGCAGTATGTCAAAACCATATCACACCAAATCTCTTGTTGATGTAAATAATTTCTCAATTAGGACCGGATCTGTCGCTATAACCCTGCAAGTGTTGGTGCCACATGCAGCGGCTATGTTGATGTGAGTAAATTTAATGAAGAAGCCCTGAAGGAGGCTGTGGCCACCATCGGACCGGTTTCTGTAGCAATTGATGCTTCTCAGATGTCATTCCAGCTCTATACATCAGGTGCAGACATTGAAACACTGTTTTGGAAGATTTCTTCAAATAGTACAAGAAATGTGAAGTGTTTTATTTGTTCTTTACACCTGTCAGTCTAATTCACCTGTATTTAAAGGAGTGTATGATGAACCTGGGTGCAGCAGCCTAGAATTGGACCATGGTGTGCTGGCTGTGGGTTATGGTACTGAGAATGGACATGATTACTGGCTGGTCAAGAACAGGTAAATACCCACAGGTGACGGTCATATTTGAAT